TACCCAGGCGCCAAATTACGCCGGCGCCGGAAATAGTGTGAAAACCATGATCGGTGCCATCGATTACCCCCTGTGAACAATCTTTCGGCTTTCTTTCTCTTTCTACAGTGCCTCGCCATAGGGACCCCCTATTTTATTAATATCCAAAGATAAAAGTAACAATGCCGATGAAATTCATGCGAAGGAAAGGGAGGCATTCCACCAGGTTTGCTGTCCTGCCCGGCGGCCTGCTACGTCGTCGTTCCATCATCGTCTTTACGAAGATGGGATACTCCGGTCACCACTGCCGACCAAATGGTCCACCAAAACCCAAAAATCGAAAAAAATTTTTTGGCTGGAAGTCCGTCCATAAGGGTAATCGATGGTCCTGATTACGATTTTGACATTTATCGGTTTATATTCTGAGTCACAACATCTCTCTATCATGGCACACAAAAGTCACTGCAATGATAGCACGAGTATTTAAATTCCAGTTTCCTGAAGTTCTGTGTCGTTCTAGATGAAAATAAACTCAATTATGTCATAATGCAATTCATCCTCTTTTGATAAGAAGAACTTAAATGTCAAACGAACATTTTCGGAACAGCGGGCGAGCGGTCGCATCGCGGTCTTTGCATGGGTCGCGAGGGAGGAGATTTCACATGAAAATTGGAAGTTGAAACATGCAGTGTTTGATATATTGGAAGGTGAATGAGTAGTTCCACATATGTTCCTTTCTTCCGTTCGCAGACCGTTCATGGAGTCACTTACAGGAAGGTCGTTCAGGGCGTGCCCCGCTTTTTCGAAACGGTTTATTGCACTTTGTAGGGCCTTGCCCATGAACCATAAAAGTGGGCTTCGTTTTTGCTGTGCGGCTCCTGGAATGCCAAAAAAGGAGTGAAAGTTACGTCTATGTACCCCCATACGAGGGACGTTAAGCGCTATACTGGCGCCAAATTGCGTCGACCTCGAAAATAAGTGTCAAAATCGTAATCAGGACCATCGATTACCCTTATGGACGGACTTCCAGCCAAAAAATTTTTTCGATTTTTGGGTTTTGGTGGACCATTTGGTCGGCAGTAGTGACCGGAGTATCCCATCTTCGTAAAGACGATGATGGAACGACGACGTAGCAGGCCGCCGGGCAGGACAGCAAACCTGGTGGAATGCCTCCCTTTCCTTCCTCTTTGCATGAATTTCATCGGCATTGTTACTTTTATCTTTGGATATTAATAAAATAGGGGGTCCCTATGGCGAGGCACTGTAGACTTCTATAGAAAGACTGTCGGGCACAACCCAACGCACACACCCAAAAAAGTCGAAAAAAATTTTTTGGCCGAAAGATTGTTTACAGGGGTAATCGATGGCCCCGATCATGATTTTCACACTTATGTTCGGCGCCGACGTAATTTGGCGCCTGGGTAGCGCTACACATCCCTTACTTGTGTGTAGCAAACGCATTCATTGGGAGAAACATGTCACTCCATATTAGCGATAAATGGCACCGTAGCTACAAATAAGTTCCATATCATGTGATTCGGGCATGGTCTGACCTATAAAGGTCAACTTTCAATTACGGTCTTGCTTAATGGTATGTAAAACCTGTAATAATTGAATAGCACTGATTCATGGAGTGTTCCCATTTAAAATGTGCCCATAAATGGCAGTTATCGAACGCATACTCACGCACAGACATATTTGAACGCGAAAACAGCAAAACA